TTTCCATATTCCTTCTTCTTCATGTTCTGAATCCTTTGTCATGGAGTTACTTTACCTTTAAGGGAGTTGGAGTTGCTGGGAAGTGCTTGGAGTCTTTTCTCCTGACCAATTATCGGTCATTGCTGGGAATTGACAGCAGTTTAGGCCATTGAAAAGTGGGATCAACTTGTGAACCCTACCTTAAAATGTAAAAGCAGAGCTCTCTGAGCTCTCTTTGTTTCCTGGCTGTGAAGGGTGGCAGAGCTCCAGGCCTCCCGTCCCTGCCCAGGCCATGCGGCCGGGCAGGGATGGGGCCGGGCCTGCCCCGTCTCCCGGCCGGGAGATGGGGGGGCCTGGGGAAGGTTTTCCTCGGGCCCCAGGCCGGGCCGGGCCGATCTCTGGCTCGGCTGCAGGTTTTGCTGTAACTACATTCACTAGAAACTGCCCAGTGAAGAAAGAGAGAGGCCCTGGACTTGCAGTGGGCTGGAGCAGCGACCACACGCTCCAGAGCAGCTATGAAGAACTTTCCATCGCAGACGGCTCCAGCTCCTGTTCGGCAGAGATCTCCGAACCATCTACAAAAACCTGGGCAAGATTTTAACTCTTTTATTACTCAGATGAGACTTGCGGATTAATCTTTTTATCCAGAGAGAGAAAAAGAGAGTGATCAACATGGAAAGAGACTTTATAAACTACCAGTGACAGGAAAGAAAAGAAGCTTCAGGAAAGGTAGAGAATTAAGAAGATGCTTTAATTAAGCTGAAATATCTTTCTGTTAAAACTATGGAGATGGACAATGAAGTCCTGAAAAGAACTCCTTTAATTCATGATATAAGATCTAGAGAGGAATAGTGTTCAAAGTGTAAATGTGAGTAAAGAGTAATTATGGTATAGTGAAGTGCTGGGAGATTTGAAGCCTTGAGAGGCAATGAGAAAACTGTTTTCTGGTGAAGCTCACAGAAACAGATGAAGAAGACTTTTTTTTGCCTTTGAATAACTTATCCTTAAAAATGCTATCTCTAGACTCATGGCCCATACATACTTCAGAGTGATGTGAAAATGGGAGGAGTGAACTCTAATAATAGCAGCTCTGAGCAGCTAACATTAGGGCAACAGAAAACTATAACAAAAATAGTTTTCTTGTGAGAAACTCCATAAATTAACAGGAAGAAACTTCTGTTTCTCTATAAAGACTGGTAAAAAGACCAGCAAGAATTGAGACTGTTTTAACCACCAGAGTTCCAGAGTTTTTGTCTCTGTTGTCATGTGAACAAGGGAATAATAGGTAGATAAGAGATGGAAAGGTTTTTCTGGAAGTTTATTCTGGTGTTCTTATTATTGTGGTTTGTCAATAAACTTTCTTTTTTTTCCCTTTTAAGTTGTATGCCTGTTTTGCTCTTGTTCTAATCCATATCTCACAGCAAGAAGTAAGTAATTTTCTTAGTTATTGGTTTAAAACCACGACAACAGGTAACACCAAGATATCTATTTGAACATTTCCAAATAACTTATTTGCATGCTTCAGCCAAAATAATCTTGTCTGTCACCAACATAGCTGAAAACTGAGATGGTTCTGACAAGAGATATATTCCTATCATTGACTGAGTTCAGATATTTTGTGACACTAATAATACTGAAAAGAATTGCCTTTGCATATGAGGGACCAGATCTGTCCTCCCATGAACGCAGATCTAAGATTTGGCTTACTAGCACAGCAGGGAATAAAACACACCATTTTCAGTCAGTGTTACAATTGGGCATCTTCCCTTTTGTTTCCTTCCAAAGGTGCAATCAGTCAGACCTTGTTGGCAGTGTATATTCTATACTTAGCCTCTGTCCATTTAAAATAATTATGATTTCCAATTACATTGCAAACCCATTCCTGTTTTCAAAAACCAAATTGGCAACATTATTGTGGAGCTGCTGCCAGTCAAGTGAATTTAGATGGTCTTTCATTGCCTTTGATTTCTTTTCATGTCAGTTGCTCTCTTTTACAGTTTTCTGTAAAAAACTGCTCATCACTAGTAGCCCACCAAGCACTTAGTCTCAGTAATGTGTTCAGTGACTTGACATTCAGAATCTCATCTGAAATTTCAAAGCCCAAGATGGGTCAACAATTCCACTGTACATCCATATTCTACAGGATTTCAAACATCAGGGAGAATTAGTAACTTGTCACAAGTCTCAGCAAAGGATAGCTTGCATCATCCTATTACCAGCCACTTCATTAATTAAGTTTCAAAGGGAAAAGGTAGCATTACAAATCTGCAACTAAAAGCCTGCAACACTGAAACATCAAAGGCAAGAAAAATCAGTTTTGCAGATTCAAAGTATGTTTCAATCAAATACTGTAAAAATATTTTCACAGTGGCCCCCAAGTGGTGGGTGGTTCACACAACACTCACGGGAGGCGAAAGGAAATGACCTTAAATTGTGCCAGAGGAGTTTCAGATTAGATAGTAGAAAAAAATTTTTAGTGACAGAGTGGTCAGGCATTGGAATAAGTTGCCCAGAGAATCAGTGCAGTCACCATCCCTTGAAGTATTTAAGAGGTGTCAGGATGTGGCACTTGGGGATAAGGTTTAGGGGTGGTTACGTCAGTGCTGGGGTGATGGCTGGACCGGATTGATGCTTCTGTGGTTCTGTGATATAAATATAGGAAAGTGTATGCCTTTTGAACCAGGACAGGTTTTCCATCAATGGGCTGACACAATGCCATGTTGTCTGTAAGCTGAAGAAGGGATTCCTCTCCTTTGAGACAGGGTTCACAGGAAGAAAAAATTTGAAAACACCTCTAACATGTTTTCACTTAACGTGTCACTTGAACACAATAGAAGGAAAGATCTATATTTTCTGGACAAGCTGAAGTTTAAAAAATGTTTTCATTGATATGTATGCTTAAGCAAAGATAAATTACTTTGGGCATGGGGGTGGAACAACAATCTCTACATGAAAATCAGATCAGGGTGCCCATGTCACAAATTCCTGACTTGCTGTGTGCCCTCTGGGTGAGTGACAACAGCTTTTATCTCCTATGTTCCACATATATTAAAATGAATTGTAGAAGTTACCTCATTCAGCACAATATGTTGCTCCACACCAGAAAAAAAAAATACTGCAATGATAATAATGGCTCAAGCTAAAACATTTGTTTCATATAAAAACATTAAATTTGCGTTTTCACATTCATTACATAGTTTATCCTGATGAAATTTTAAATCCTATACCACTTTAAGCATACTCTGCTGAAACTTTATCTACTGAGCCAACATGGTGATATAGACACAGGTACAGCTGACCACCAATGAACACAGACACAAACACAGATTCTTATCCTCATATCCTCCCAGAAATTCTGCTAAAGCAAGCAAGGGCTGTAGAGATTACATTCCTACTAAATACTTTCAGTGCAAGTCTAGGAAAGCAAACACTGAAACAGAAACAATCCCTCTCCCCCTAATTTTTCCCTGTTAATACTGGAAACTGCCTGAAATTTTTTCAAGAAAAAAAATTACTATGCCTTGACTACACGCCACATATCTCACAAGGAAGAAAACACTAAGGTGGTTCTGAAAAACTGAAAATGACCCTTTAAAACAATAGAATGGGATAAAACAAGCTTGGCTTAGGTAGAGGTATTACTACACGTAGACACAGACAACATGTTCACATACAGGTGTAGATATGGCCTAAGACACAGCAAGCCAAGTGCTTGAAAATGCTTCATTTAATTTCTTTCCAATCCTGGTTTAAATGCTTTTGGTGCAAAGTGTGACCAGTGTGCTACTAGCACAGATGCTGTCACAGTCATTTCTATGTAAAGACACAGCTTTCTTGCACTGAGAGTGCACCAGAAAACTTCACTGAATAAAACATTAAAATTCACCTCACATTAGGACCCTGTTCCCTCAGATTACCTTTTTCTCACTTTTTAGCTATTCCATGTGTGGTGGTTTCACATTGATTAACATTTAGGAAAAAAGTAAAAAACCACCACGGAAGTGATTTCTTTAAATGATTGCCGTATGATTGCCAGTCATACGGCAGGAAATAAGATCCTTTGGAGGAGGCATCAGCAAAAAGAGGAAATGATACAGTACTAAAATAAACTAAAGTGTCAAAGAAATGACAGCATTTGAATAGAGAACTGGCTAGAAAACTGAATTAAAATGAAGTCTTAGAGAAAATCAGAGAAACAAAAATAACTTTTAAAGAGAAAAACATTCATCTATATTTATCCATGACACTTGCCAAATTTGTACCCATACACAAGCACACATATTTACTGCAGAGTACAATTACACCACAGGCAGGCAAAAACTCAAAATAAAGCTGTTGGCAGATATATTTGAACTGGAACACTTCTGCCATAATAGCTCATCTATGTCTCATTATCTTATAGGTCTTCAGAAAAACTGCAATACCCAGTCTTTCCTGGAAGAATCCAATTGATTCCACGCCATGAGTGAAAAGAACAAGATGGGAAGGAAGAATTTGGAGGGGTGCAAAGGGTAAGGAAGGAATAAGGAGAGGAAATCATTTAAAAGAGAATGGCTAGATTCACAACATTTAGAAAACAATTCCCGAGCACTTCAAAATGCCAGTGAAAGCCTGTTTCAGATCTCTGGTTCTCTGCATGTCCATGCTGTCTGCATACAATAGATATGAGGAACAATGACACGATTTGAGTTCCAACAGAACAGCAAGAAAGTAACTGCAGCAAAATAAATGTAATGGTTTTGCCCTTTATGAGGAAGATCAAAGTTCTGAGTTACCCATTTGCAACAAATTTATACAAAACTTCTTGTCTGGAGTTGCTCAAAGACCCGACAATTAGACCACTGAGGCATGGTGACATAAATCAAAGCACAGAAGTGAAAGGACGGAAGTGAGGGGAGGTAGCTCAGCAAATACAATAGAACATAACTTTTTGTTTGGAATCAAAGATTAGGAGATTAGGAGAGCAGAACAGTTGCAGTTACCTGGTGTGGCTGTTGGAGGAGAGGCTTTCCCAGGGCTGCACGCTACAGCCTGTGACTGCATAGGCTCCCCCACAGCTCCCATCTAGCTTCATCAGCAAAGCTTTTGCTGCATTCTCAGCTGTCTTCCTGCAGTCATGAGCCCTCTTAAGCATCTGTGTGACATTTTCATCACCTGTCTGGTCCCCTGGTTTTCAAGCAAACAATATTTCAGACAGAAATTAAGGCAAGAGATCCTTCTACTTGCTCTCAGTTTATACCAAGATAGTGACAATAAATTACCAAACTGTGAGGTAAAAGCAACTTCACTTCCTTTTGAGCATCAGTGGTAACTGGGATACTGGCCTGAATGAACCCTGTTCCCAGTAACAAGCTCCAAGTACTTGTGGCTCCAGGCTATATGTCTTAAGTGATGTAGGATTTTAGCTTGTCTGTTTGTAATGGTGTGTATTCTGCATTAACATTAGGTTTGGATGCTCAAGTTATGAATACATTGTGCAGTATGGTTTCATGGTGTAGTCATCTCCAGAGCTTCTCCTCATAGACACCTTGATCTCATGGCTGATGGTTTGCCAAAACACCTTCTTACAGGCTACCTGGCCAGACAGAAGAATTGCCTTGCTCAGAAGCAGCCTCTCACATTTTACAGTCAAGCATACTAAGCCAAAAGAAAACTAGCCCTGATTTATTAAATTACTGTAATTTTTACCTGTGTAGCTGTAAGGCTTCAGTAGAAGCAGGACTGAAACCACCACTATCGCTACTCCTACAGTCTTCCAGCTGCAGTCAAGTCATTAAATTAAGACATGTTATTGGCTACACAGAAAATCTACAAATGCTCTTGTGGATTAGGCTATAATACATTCATACTTCAGCAAAACCTAACAGCTTGCTCTGTGTTGGATTTTCATTTAATCCCTGCTCAAGTCAATTACCTGTACTTCACACTCGCCAAATGAAGAGCATGCACTAGAAGTAACATTAACGAGGAAGAATGGAAGGGTGAATGTTAAGAGAAGCTGGATATGCTCAGCTTTAACTGATGCAACTCCCATGAATTTTCCACTCACAGATGTTGTTATAAAGCTTGACTGATCTTCAAACCAAAAATCCGTTATTTTATCTAGGCGTGTTAATCAAACTTCATAATGAAGTAAAGGTACATAAACCATACACGACTTCCTCCATGCTGTGCTGTGTAATGGGAAATTTGTACTATTTCTATCTCAGGATTGTAACTGATAATACCATAATTAAGAGCTGTAGACAGACACCTACATAAAATCTAACTACAGTCTTTTCCATAAAATGCACGTAAGATGAATACCAAAAGTATTTCTCCCTTATAAGATTTCTTTCTACCACCTACAGGAATAAAAATTCCAGGCCTAAATTCACTTTTGCTACTCACTGATCTCTGCCAGCTGGGAAAAGTTCCCTAGCACAGTGTGGAAAGGAATGAACAGAGATTGGAGAGAGGTGGAAGAACATCTCAGACATCCCCTTTACTGAGAAGCCAGTGCTCCTAACACACCAGGGACTCGCTATGCCTCAGAGCAGTATGAAGAGTTACTCTCTCTCTGAATGCTTCCCTTCCCTCTGCTTGAAGATTACTATGACTGCCTTCTCCTACCAATAAAAGGAATGGAACTACTAACACTGGAATTTCATTGTGTAATACTTTTAAATTTTTTTTATTTGTAACTACTTAATGCTACCTTTGTATTATTTTAATCCCAGTTTTTCACAGATCAAACTGTTTCTGGGGAGTTAATCTTATTAAATCTGGACTTACAACTACCACAGCTGTATGGTTCAAGCAATCTGTGCTCACAAGTATTGTTTAATTATTCCACTCTGTACAGTTCCCTGCCAGAAGAGGCATCTCCTTGTGATAACATATACAGGTGACTTTAATTGCTCTCTTGCATTTTTCTCTCTATTTTTGAGGTTATAAAATAATTTAAATAGTTAAAACCAAGAAATGACTGGAGAGCATTCTTAAATAATGGGTCATGATGCAATTCACGATTAAAACCAATTCTAATGCTAAATGACATGCCAAAAAAACCTTAAATTGTGATTCACTGACATCTTACCAACAGAACCAACACCTGCAGCTCTGAATTGTCCAAGAATGAGACTCTGCTCACTTTCTGCCAATGCCAACAGCAGCTCATATGCTTCTATGCACTGTTCACTGAAAGGGAAAACAAAAACAAAGTATTACCTGCAATTTAAAGAAGAGCAATACCTGCAATAGCAACAACGAAAAAAGAGATATCTAATTAACCGCATGATTCTTTACCACCTTTCTCGCAGTAGGGATATTAAATAACATTATACACATAGCTTCTACCACAAGCATTCAGCAGTCTCCCCATTCTTGTAACAGTGCCAGGCTGGCCTCAAGTAATGTAACAAGACAAAAGACAAGAGAGTGACCTGAAATAAAGGAAGCTCCAGAAGCACGTTTTAAACAGGTGACAATACAAACAGCGGTCAAGATGACCCCTTTGAGAAACTTCTCCCAGACCTTCTTACTATACAACATATATTATTCTATACTCTACAATATAATTATACTACTCAAAGTGTTGTAAGCAGAAAAGATGCAAGAAGAATACTTCTTGCTCTAAACTGGCCGCAAGCGGCTCAATGGAACAGCTTTCAATTATATTTATGAGTCACACAATCCCTGCTGCATTTTAGTATTTTTAAAAATACATAGTAACATAGTATTAGCAATTTACACTTCATTGAAGTTTGCTCAAGGCTGATAGTAAGAGAATACATTCTTTAAAAGACCAAATCTGCCTATCCCAAATTAGTTGCAGTTGAAGGTGTTAAGTGGAACCCTATTTTTGCAAATAGTTTGATGCAAATTTAGATACTTATTACCAAATACCAAGCCTTTAATCCACAATTCCAACTGATGCAATACAAAGTCATTCTGAGTTATGTTGATTATAAGACTCCCTGGTCCACAGGTCTTGTGAAAGGTACAGAGAACCTGTATCTTAAGGATCTATTCAGCAAGACAGTATGAGCCTACACACAATGCCTAATTCAAATGTTAATTTAGTATTTAAGAATGAAGAGATAAATCTCTACATTCCTGTTAGGTGCTGGTCAACTACAGCTGAAATACACTGTAGGAATAACTTCTGTTGGGTAGTTTGTCAGGCAGTTTAACCAAAGGGGTGCTTTTTCAAGGAGGAAACAAAAAATTAACAATGTAACTATGTCACACTAACAACTTCACTCTCAAACACTTCTATCAAGCCTCCCCCAGCTCCCTCTTCCTGGCTGAGCCCCCTGTACATACCTGTACTGCAGTGCCAGCCTGAGGGCTGTCGCATTGGACTCATACTTGCCCACAAGCATGCTCATCCTCTCTGCATTGCTCTTGCACTCCTCCAGTGTTATTGTCAGCAAATCATTCTGGGATTTCAGGTGTTCAATACGGCTGCAAAAAAGTAATTTGCAACCTTCAAGCTTAACTTGCAGTCATTGTCCTGAAAACTCTAAGACAATCATACTTTGAAACCAGGAAAATTTCTTGGTCTATACAACATTTTTTAATGAAGATAACAAAATCCATCATTCTGCATCCCTTACCAAAAGCCAAAAGAGTAGAAATTTCTCGTAAGTCATGCTCTTCTCCTCCCCATAAAATGTAGCCATAAGTGTGTATGTAGAAGCAAGCAGAAAGCTATACCCTTGTTTTGCAGACACAAGACTGCATAGGACAGTTTCATATTAACCTTTTGCTCAATTTTTCTGCCTTCATCCCGCACTTTTTGCTGCCACATTTGCAACTTGTTTTAAATGGCATATTCATTAGTGTGTTTGTGGGTGTGTGCAGGGATCATGCAGTTGCATAAATGCCTCCTTTCTTCTGAAAATCCAGAGTAACCATTCCACCTGAAGTCATGTGTGGGTTGTGATTAGAGAGGGAACTTGCAAACTGTGAATGAGATTTCAGTGGGGCAATGTAACCTCCAAATGTTCTGGCAACAGCCAAACAGAAGCTTAGCTGTAATATCTTCCTCAATGAGGTTAACCTGAACATGAAAATGAAGATTCAGAGTATCAGTATTACTGTTTGTTCTCTCTGCTCACAACTGAACCATACATCAATATACTACGCCTAACTGTTAAAATTGTATATATGCCAAGACCAGAGATACAAACAAGTAGAGAAACCTTGCACGGGTAGCTAATGAAGAAATCCATGCCATACAGGACTGTAAAATCACTGACTTCTTGACTAAGAAGAATGAGAAGTGCAATTATACCATTTGTTCAGTTACCAGAATAAAGCCCTGACTTTTCTAGATGCTAGAGCTGTCACTTTCTGTATCGTGACATCTTCTATAATGATACGTGCTGTCAAAGCATAACTGTGAAGTGTATTAAAAAAAAAAAAAGAAAGAAAAAAGAAAACAAGAATCACGTTTTGCAGCATTACAAAAACATGAGCTATAAATAAAAAGAGATATCGTACCAATCAGACTAAATTCAAGCTAGCTATGGGGAAGACAGAATTTGGATAGAGGTATGCTGAGACACGATTCTCATATTCCCAATCCACAGTTTTGATTTTATGTGCCAAAAAGACATAAAACACTAATTTTGGTTTTGATAGAGCTTGCTAAAGGGTAACACCAGCAGTATTTTAAGTGCAACCAGGAAGTTTCAATCTCTCTTTTGCAGACAGAAACCTATTTGCTGGTATATATGTCACACTGCCATGCATCAGTACATTTATTGGGACAATTAAATGTAATTGTTCTGTTTCTTCAGGACAAAACGAAGCAAGCTAATTCCAGAATGATGCAGACTAAGCTATGGGTGTCCTTATTTCAAGGAGTAATGTGTCTTACGAAAAAAGGTGCCAGTGACTACTTGGTCAACCACAGAGAGGGACACTGCACAGTGCAGACAGGGGAAGGTGCTGTGCTGATCTAACAATGCACAGACTCATACTTATGGAAAGAATCCTTAGCACATGATTCAATCTCCTCTTCATCAACCACATTCCATGTTTATCTGCAGCTGCCACAGCTGAGCTGGAACTGAACTAAGAAATGTTCAAAAAGGGTAAAAAAAGCAGTCAACTTTAATGAAGCTAACAGAAGACAACATGCGTGAGCACATCTAACTTTCCAGCTCACCTATTTAATCTCTCTGTCTCCACTTCAAATTCTCGGATTTTGCTTTCAGAGATAGCAGATCCATGTGAATAGAGAGTCTGGAAGATTTCCTGGATGTTTGAGCAGTCTTGAAGGGAATGTGCCAAATGTTCAGCCACAGTACTAGACACCTGCACAAGGCAGTTAATAGATCATTGTGAATAGATATCCGCTGAATTTCTCCCAGATACGTTCTGCGTTGAGAACGGCATTTACTTACATGCACTCACTTCAATGTATTCATTATTCAGTTTTTGTTATGAATTTTACATTGAATAGAACATTTACAAGATTCCACTTTTAGAAGCCATTCTGTTCTAAAAGTCTACTAAGCAAAGGTGAAGTCCACTATTTGACTGTGCATTTAAAAAGCCTACTATGCAAGTTATTTATGTTCTTGAGAGCTTAGCAAAGGGTTAGAGCCAAGTTGTTCAGTAAAACAAGTATTAGCACACAGTAACAACAGCATTATTGATTTACACTGGCATTTCAAAAGCAGAATCCAGTTTGCTGATGGTTGAAAGTTGTGAAATGAACTGGAGAGCCTTCTTGATGAGTATTTTGGTGGAACTGCCTCCAAAATTTTCCTCCTGAAGTCACTCATGAGAATGATCTCTAGCCACTTGTTACAAGAAAATGAGATCTTAATACTGAGCAAAATATTAATTGTTGAAATATTTTGCTCAAACTAGCTTTTAAAATAATTTCATATAGTTCATATTAATTTTAGTCAGAAAACAATGCTTTTATTGGAATATGGATCATGCTTGCACACAGTTTAGTTCTTACCCCTATGCTGCTGATTTCTGATCCTAAGACAGGTCTATCAGATGATGAAGACTCTGATCTTGTCTTTGACAACTTCACTCTTTCAGCAATCTGTAAATCAGAGTGCTGCACAGGTTACACAGCAGCCCACACCCCATAAAGATCACACAAACCCCATCTATTCTCTAGTTATACTTGAAAAGCTGAAACAAACTACTAGAGAACTGAGCCAGGCTATGTAACTGAGAGAACAACAATGAATAATGTTTAATTCCTTTCCACAGCTCAAGTTTGTGGACCTGCTCAGGACTCCCCTAAACATCTCCCAGTTCATCCCATCCGTGCACAGCACAAAATGAAGCCTGCTCTTCCCAGGTCACGAGAAGGCTCCCAAAGACAGAAACCCCACCTTGGCAATGGGAATGTCATTGCTGCTGCTGCTGGTGCTCAGCTCTCCCGTGCTGGGGTTGACGGGGCGGTTGGCAGGAGTGAGGCGGCTCGGGCTGGATGGGCCTGTGGCCTGCACACTCTGCAAACGAGTCTGCAGCTCCCGAACCTGGAAAAAAACATAACATTCTGATTTTTCCACTTTCATGGTTTAAATAGTCTGGAGATTTTTTCGTTGTCTAGCCAAGTCTAATTGCTTCTGGCTTCAGCACAAAAATTACATTTTTGTACTATGGTGGCCATGAAGTTTACATGTGGGGAGCAGATGAGTGGAGGTTATTTTAAAATCCCACTGCTAGGAGTTTTTTAAACTATGTGCAATATGCAAACATACCACTGTAGAATAATTACTCAAAAATTTCAGCTGTAGTACAGGTATAGAAATTATTCTTCTGCAGTAAAACTAGTGCTCCAGCCTAAGATAATGGTGGCTAAACAAATCAAATTACAATCCTCTTGTTAATGGAAAACTCCAGTGCTGAAAAAAAACCTCTTGACATAAATAAATCACGTGCTCACTTGGTCATATATTTAAAGATTAAAGAAATTAAAATACTAATCATACTTCAAATCTACAGTCAACTAAAGCTACTATTTAGTGAGTAATGTACAGACAAAAAAAATAGCAGCAAAATACTCAACCAACGATCTGCAAAAGCTCCCTGTAAACACACCCTGCAAAGACTGCATGGTCTTCATAACATCAGATACTTGTAGAGCTGATGTCTAAAGATTTTACGCTTAAAGGTTTTAAAAAAAAAAAAAAAGAAAAAGAAAGGTCTGCAGGAGCCAACCTATAGCTGTGCTAAAGATTATAGTGTTTACCTTGGAATGATTCTTAATAGACAAGGAATAAATGGTCTGCTTAACACAAGAGTTATGACACGAAGTAAAGTGACAGAGCTCATTTTTCCCACAGATCTCAAGAGTGTGAGATGGGACAAGGTGAAGGAAACCATCTAAAGAGAAAATTCCCCTGAACACAGTTTTCCTTAAATACACAGGTTTCTGTGCGACATTGCTGGAACAGTTTCTCTACAAAATAGAACTTGTGAAATTTTATCAGAAGCCCAGTCAAGTAAAGTTCAGCCCATTTGATACCTGCCCTTGTATGTAGCATGAAATGCAACTGTGATTCCTACCATCTAAACAAAGGTGTGATTTTATACTAAATGCTTTTATACAAGCAATGCTTTTATAAGCAAGCTGAAGTCCCTTAGTCAAAAAAACCCAAAATTAAAGTTGCATCAAAGCTTAGACTTAGATGTAGGTGCATCTGGTCAGTGCTTTATCAATCTCTGCTTGAAGCAGCAGCAGCAGTCATGTGTTCTCTGCACAACAGATGCTTAAACCTACTGCAGAGAGGAAAGAATTCAAGTTGGAATGCTCCCCGGTCACCAAAGAAGCATTTTATGCCTCCTACAATCCTCTACAGCCTGCTCCTATTTCCTGAAGAGTATTCCTGCCTCTCCCTCTGTTGTATGCAAACAGAAGGACAGAGTGCCTCCACACTTACTGTCAAAAGAATTTTTAGGTATTCACAAATTACAAAAAAAGAAAAAAACAACCTGTGTGTTTTACATAATATGGTATTTTTAAAAAGCCATAGATGGCAACAATAAAAACACATAAAGTCACACTGCACTTTTAAGTTACCTGTTCAGTTGTGGAGGAGCACTGCACCTTGAACAAAATGAGTCCAAACAACTAAAACCTCAAAACAAATTCCCCAATGTTAAAAATAACTTACTAAAAACCAGATATGGGTGTTTGACCCATAATTATGTATCTTAATTGCAATTCTCTCATGAAGTTAACTGAGCAGAGTGTATGAAGAGCACATCCATAGCAAGTATATTCTACGTATTTGCAGCTGAGGTCTCCTTTGTTTATACAGACATATTTAGCTTCAACATGAGTACAGCTGCACTAATGCAAACCTTAAGGACAGAAGTGCTCTACTGGTGCAAGCCAATAATTTCAGCTTGCTGATATGCATAAACCTGAAATAAACCATGCATGCATATTTTTGCTTGCAGATGTGGAATGCCAGTGTAGATAGGATTTGTACTGTGGCATTGCCACTGAAAAAAAAAAAAAAAAAATTAAAAAGCATCCCCCAAACTTCATTAAGTCAAAATTGTCATTTATTACTATTTCTTTCAACCCAGGCTGTTCCAAATTAAATTGTCCAAGTCTTTAAGTTACAGCACTGTTTAAGTTACAGCACTGTTTAAAAGCAAACAAACAGGAAGACCATTTGGATATATTCTTTATAAAATAAAACCCCAGCCTCTATGCCCAACTTAAATATTGCTAAAATATTCACCTATGCTCAGAAGCCAGTCCTGGAAGATTGCAGTCCAAAAACAAGTAACATTCTAAATTTAAGTGCAACCAGGAAAGAGTGGTAAAGCTGCTTAAATGCCAGCTGTTGGTAGACTCTGAAGTTCAGAACTCCCTTATGTGAAGACTGTATCACACAAACCTTTAATCCAGTCAGGTTTCCTTTATTCTGTGTTTTCTTACTGGGAAGTGACTATTGCCTAGAACTACAAAGCTAATTATTCATACAAATCTGTAAAAAAACACTGGCAACAGAAAGAGAAATAAACACAGCTAAGAGTTTAGTCAGGTAAAGCTTTGCTCAGGAAAGCACTTCTAGAAGAAAACTCAGAACACAGCACAGTTATTAATCTGTGCAACTCAATGGCTTAATATCATATCATAGAAGCAACCAAAAGAAGAAGCTGCCTGCTTATCTGTCCTTCTTGATGTATTTACTAAGTCAGGCTTTCATTTATGAAATTACATGCTGAACTGACTGCCAAAAATAGCTGCACTAATTATAGCAACACTGTGTACTGGATGCTAATTCTGAGCAGGACAACAGGGCAAGTTTGTCTGCCTGTAAAATAAAATCACCCTTCTCACAATTCACACATTCACCAAGCATCTCATGACTGGGTTGCCCAGCTACCACACTGTGCAGAGACATATTAGGTAACTATTTCTGGTCATCAAAACCTCTATTGTAAATGGAAGAGTATGCAGCACCTCTTCAGACAGTACTTTCCCACACTGGTAGCTATTTTGCAGAAAAAATAAAGAATGACCAAAGAAGAAAAAGAATAACTCAAACCCAAATCAGAGTTCAAAAGAGCCGTTTTCTTCTCTGGCTTGGTGAATGCACAGGTTATGAAAAGATTGGTTTTAAAAGTGGAAATAAAAATTGTCTGACCCTCTGTGTCAAGTCTTTAGCATCATTACTAATGTAATATAAATTATTCTGAAGGTTAACTCATAGAATGAAGGTAAACTGCAGTACTGCACATAAGACACGAGAAACACTTGGAAACGGGAGACAGAGAAAGGGAAAATCTTACAGGAAATTGGCAGAATGAAATGGGTAAATTCAAGTATAGAAACAAACCCAAAAAAGTTATAGGACAGGAAGAGTGTGGATTTCTGAGTTTCGGAGGAGGAATAACCAGAAAGAATTTAAATAAAAATTTCTTGAGTCCTTGCACCATCCTAGTTTAAAAACAGAAATATGCAGAAGGGTATAAAAATTGCCATAAACTCCTGAAGCACTAAAATGATGTGGAAATCATCTGGCAAGCAGATCTTACATAGTCAAAAAAAAAAAAAAAAAGGAATTGATAATGAAGGGAAAAAGGAGAAATCCAGGGAAATGCCTGTGAAATCCAGAAAAAAAGGAAAGGAAATATCTTCTAAATTATTAGAGGAGGTCCAAGAAATTACAGAAGTAAAGAAGTGCTGGAACCAACCCTAGAAAGAACAGGAGTAGGTGCATTAAGTGAGACACAAGGCAACAGAGTCATTAGATGAGCAATGAGCAATGGATAGCCTAGATACTAAAAAATAATTGTGCAAGCAGATGTTCTCAAGTTACTAATATAAACATAAGTAATTCCAAATTATGTTTTTCAATTGAGCCAATTGTTGAGCTGCATTTCCTATTTTTTCCTTTGAATGCTGAGAATTGAAGTAGGAAATAGTGAAAAATTATGGGTAATTTCTTAACACCTTGAGAACTAAATAAAAAGAAAGCAAGGCTAGATTAGAGAAGGGGCTGACACACTACAATGTGTGTTTGCAGTAATGTGCAATTTATGAAAGACTTAATAAGCTATTAGCAGGCATCACAGACATGTTTGTCCAAATGCATCATGGGCTATAGAAAAATATTTCAGTGGAATATTCTCATTATTTATAACCATGACTCTGAGAAGCATGTTTTATTCTTTTTACTTTACATATGCATAGTGACAACTACATGATTCATTAACATCCTAAATAGAATACCACAGCTATAAACTGCCTGTTTCTGTCACTTATTTTTACACATTCAAAGGACACCTACTGCTTTTGTTTCTAAACCCATTTCAAATGAGGGACATACCTGTGATTCTTTTCGTTCTACCTTACTCATGATCCGTTTTATCATCCAGTACCTTTGAAGCCTTCAAGTAACAGGACTTTTTCCCCCCCCAGCATTTTAATGCTCCTTCCTTTCCTTTCCCCTATTATACAGAGCAGGAAGATGAAGTACAACAAACCACAGAGAGTGAACTTCTCCCACTTTCTAATTTATTTATGTATACTGCAGATCTGTGGAGGAGAAGATGCCAAATAAACACCAATGTAACAATCTGAGCTGCTCTAAGTGGTGAGGGCCCTTCCCAGTCAAAAAAAACCCCTTACCTTTCATTCAGTCCTAGTGTTGATTCTTTTCAGCCAGATAATTTTCAGCCTCACTTATATCATGAGCACCAGAGCAAAGTCTCTGAGTTCCTGTGTATTGTCTGTTGTGATCGACTGAGTACAGTAAAGAAATTTTTCCTGGTATCTATAAGGTCAATTAAACACTGAGTATTTCCATGTAAGCTTGGAAACAGAATTAAAACTCTACTTTGCTGACACCCAAGAGAAGATGCTGCTACATAAGCAAATAACATGCAAGTGAAGGATGCAGAGAATGGAAATAGCTTTGCGGTCCTACCTCAGGTTTCTGGTGCTCACCAAGAGACAAAGGAGACAGAACAGTTCCAGGGTCACTTTAATCAGATAACAATCTCTATAGGCACATCAGTGTTCTCCAGCAATCTGGAACAATACCTTCTGATCCCAACAGGAATCACTACAAAACAAAGTCCAGCAGATCCTGCCAGCTTTGTGTCATCTGAGAACAGTATGGGCCCAAGAACATTTGCAAGGCCAAGGATCTGAGTCCTGCTGCGGCAGGGGGAGATTTCAACTGTCCACAAGTACCACATATTTTGGGAGAGCCCTCTGCACAAATCAAAGCTCTCCAGAGTGGGAAATATTGGCAGCTGATGGGATCACACATAAAACGCTAACTTTCAATTACTCCACAGATTATGTCTTCATTAGGGTCTTAGTTGAAGACACCTAATTAAGTGTTTTCGTTCTGGCCAGTTTGGTGACCTCAGCCAAGTTTGGAGCAGGTACAGAACAGCCTTCACAACCATCAATCAATCATCATAAGATTAACTGAGCAAGCTGACATATGGCTCATGCAGAGAACAGACTTAACTGACTTCCAGAGCTGGAACTGCCTTTTCACTTCAGACTTAGCTCTTCAGAACAGCCTCAGGGAAGCCTGAATGCTGCCCACACCCACTGCTTTTTATGCCAACCAGCTCCCTAAGACTGTGCTGAGGTACCACTCATCTGGAAACTCTTGTGGGCAATAATTTAAAAACCCACAATTTTTACTTTGCAGTCAGGATGGAGTTTATATGGTGTTTCACTGCTGCTCATCTGAACCCCCTGCTGAATACAAGGGCTTTTAACTACAAACACAAATATTCTTTTAACTTTTTCTTCCACCACTCAAGCCTGTTACTCTGTATAGTAGTTGCAAATAGTGCTGACCTGATTACAGCTTTATTCTCATGTAATAATGATATTAATCCCACAGACTGGTACAGAAGTTCCCCACCATCTTATCTGTATTACTGGATTCAGGATTATGGTCAGCTATGTGTAAGCAGTTTCTAGGGCACTGACAGGCCCGGACCTAAATAGATTTTATTTTTAATGCAGCAAAATAATACAGAGGTAAAATAAACCTCGGCATTATGAAATTAGCTGTTACATTGCAGAAAACCTACAGAAGCAAGCAATTACTTCACTTGCTAATGATCTGTGAGAAACAAACTCTGAATGTATCTTGCTTCTCAGCTAATGTTCCAGACAGCAGCTCAATCGGTTAACTGAGTGCAGTAAATACCTAATTAAATTAAATCTCCAACAAGCCTGAGAAAAATGTATTGAAAGCACTCTGCTTGATTACAGGCATTGGTCTGAAGGAACATACCTATTGATCTGGTCAACTTCAAGGTTGTTCACTTTATCCAATTTAATTTGAGAAGGACAAAAACTAAATTTTCGTTGGATCTCCTTTCCCACTCTCCAGGGAAATAATCTGAAGTGACTCGTGAGTTCAGGTGGCATATAGAAAATATTTAATAGGTCAAAGAAAACATTTATTTTGTTGCCACTATGGATATGAAGCTACATTAAAAATGCAAATGCAGTCTCCAGTGCAACAATTACACAGCGTGCAGACAGGGTCATATGTTATGAACTAACGTGCCTGGTGGGACCAATAAATCAGTTGTTCTGAATGCTAAGGATGATATTGATTACCAGATTTCAGTAAAGTCCTCTATAGTTGAAAACAACTGAAACAAGCAGATGACCTTAATTCTGTTTTCACCAGAGATGCGTCCGTAACAGAGAACTGGAACTGATGGTAGCCAGACAAAACATCACAGAATCCTGAAAAGATACTAAGGCTGGCTTAGAATTAATGCAGCTGTGTTAACTTGTTTCTTTCGGCTGTCCTTCAGATACAATCCTAATGTAATGATCCTGGTTTTAACAGGTATCCTTGCATAGTCATATATTTCATTATACAAACATAACTCCATTTAGAGCTCCATTTACTCCTTCCTGTTTCTTCAGAAACAACACTCTTCTTGTGTCTTGGTCACCTCACAATCTCACTTCTGGCCTTGAATAGCCACAAGGGGTTTGTATTAATCTGTTCTTGCTCCAGATTTGTCCCTGAGTTTAGAGAGCCATTACTTCCATTTTTATTTTCTTTCTCTAGCATTTGTAAAGAGAAAACAAATTAAGAATTTGTTTCGCCATGCTAGTCTCTTCTCCACAGACAATGCCTTCTGACAATTGTCTACATAATTTTTTGCCAATTTAAACTGCACCTTTACATGCATAAGAGATAAGAACAGCATATAACATTCCAGATCAGATCTCACGACCCTTTTTACAGTTTCTGCAATCCCTACTGAAAATAACTTCTCTGGTACCTCATAGGACTGAATTTGCTGCCATGGCTCAGCCACGCTGATCCCTGAGGGTACAATACCAATTCTTTCTTTCCCCTTTTCTGCTTCTCAGATGAGGAGCTCCTGGATGTCAGCATAAATTCTTGTTACCATTCTTTCAGCCCCTTAACTTGCATACTGTATTTCTAAAAACAGGAATCTTCTTGTATGCTCAATGCCACCTCTCTTTCTCTTGTTTGATATCTCAGTATTGATCTGTATCACCTGAAGTGTCAATACCTGCATCTGTATAAGCAAATTTCTAAAGCATACATTTCAATTCTGCCTGCTTGTGTTGATGTCCACCCCCTCAGTCTGGCAACAGTACAGCCAGTCCATAAATGCTACTTCTGTAGCCCAAGGGGTAGCATTGCCTCCACTAAAAAAAAATTGTCACTATCATCCAAAAATTTCAGGAATGAAAACAACCTATGGTATATAATAAGACAAAAATTTACAGATTTACAAAGGAAATGTTGAAGTGGTCTTGCTTTATACGATATGAGATTACTAGTCTTGCTTCATCACACATGCCTTTTTAGTGTTAGGAGAAGATGGAGTTTTGAAAAGGTAATTTGTGGCTTCCTATCTAAAGATTGCAAGTCTCACACGATGCATGCTCATGCTCTAATGGCACAGTCACTGCAGAACAATGTTGGTTTAGAACAGCAAAAAAAAGCCAATCTGCTGCCAATCAGTAAAGAGTAAACTGCAATACTTGTAATAGTTTACCATAATATGGTGGTCTGAATTGTCATTTAAATGAATACAAACTTGAAGCTGCCTGTTTTAAAAACAGAATACTTCATATCTAGCCAAAACTCTGCAAATTTACCAGGTACAAAGTTAACAAATTTTAAAAGTAACTGAGATTGAGGTCACATTTCCTCTTTTTTGTGAACTAATTTTCCCTGCCCTTTTTTCTTTTTACTTTGGACTCCACACAAAGTACAAAGCCTTTATCTGATCTTAAAGCATCATAAAATGTAGATAGTGAAGCAGGACATGGCTGGAACTACTCATTGTTCAGTATGAGAATTACTACCCACTGACAGAAGTCCTGCTCTATTTCTTTCTCCTAATCACAAATTGAATTCCCATCAAAAACAAAGAAATATTTGTTGTTTATAGGAAAAATAGCCTCACAGGAAAAATCACTAGATAAACATCTGCTTTCTCTATATCCAAGTTACATATGCTTCCTTGAAGATGAATATCAGTTTTTCTGTTAACACATGATTTCTGAAATCAGGCTGCTGTGCACGCTGGCTGTTTTTCACACACTCTTTTTCAATTATGTTTAGTTCTGTCCTAGTTTTATCATTTGTATAGCCTAGTCCTGCAGCCAAGCACAGGAAGTGAGATTAAAAAGAAGCCTGTTCTGGTGAGAAAACCACACAGGTTGGAGGAAGAATAAAGCACCATCTGTGCACCAGCCTTACCCTTCTACGCAGCCTGTCCCTCTCCTCACGGACAGTGTTCATGGTGGCCTTGGTCCTGTTGAGCTCCTCCTCTTTGCTGCACAACATGGCTGTGAGGCTTTCATTCTCTTCCCGCAGGCCAGCCAGCTCCTTCTCCCACCGAGATCTCTCCTCAGACAGGTTTGGATAAAGGTCACGTCCCAGCACACCCTCAATCTCCTCCACGGTCTGCAAAAACACAGTCATCAACAAACAGAAAGCGGCAAAGACAACTGAGCAGGACTAATGGGTAGATGGAACAGAAATGTGTGTTAACAGGCAACCCTACACACTTCTATGTACACTCCCAGCCTCTCAACACCATCAGTTTGCTTCTTTTGTTTGCTAAGTAATGTCAAACAAAATTATTACTTATTTTCTTTGACACTTTGACCATTTCATTAAAACATTTCACACTGACAAACACCAAAGCAGACAAATATATGCAAATAAAACATGTCACCTATGAATGACAGCAATCCTGGTAGTTTAATGTCAGAATACTTCAGAACAAATTAATGACTCCTGTCACGGGCGAGCACAGTAGTCATTGTTTCCCTGCTGAGTAACAGGCAGAAATGAGCTGCCTGTGAATGTGCATGGCATGGGGCCTTATTTATTGCTACACCAATGCCACAAAAGGGCAATGAAGGGAGTGGGAGAGGATTAAAAAAGGGCTCTTCTTGCCCATGTCCCTGAGCATGTTCCTTCCTTGAGGTGACAGCAAAATAACACAAAGAACTTTGGCCTTGGCTAGGCTTACAGAGGATGTTACAGCCTTTCTAAAAAGCTATCTAAAAAAAGTTTCGGTTTCTCTGGGACATAATACCATCTAGCACTTCCTGTCCCACCTCCATGCTCAGAGCTGTGCCTTGTAGACACTGTTCAGTTTGAGGGACATTGAGGAACTTCCAGTGGGAGAAACTGAACTACAAGCATCCACCACCAGCAAGGGAATATTGCCATGCCTGAACTGACTCTCAGGCTGGCCACCAACATGATGAAGCACAGCATAACAGCCTGTTGGGGAACCACCTGCAGTTTGGAATCTGCTACCCAGGGCATGCTGTGCCTGTGCTCCATGTCTAACTATGGAAATTATGTGCAACAAGCAAAACCACTCCAAGTGTTGCCCATAAGCTTTTGAATCTCCCTTAAAGCAGTGTGTATTAAAGTGATGGGAACAAACACAGAAAATGAAAGAATATATGACATCACTGGCAATGCAGAAAGTTTCATTTCATTGGCTAATCCAAAAACAAGTTATAGCTAAAGCCTATACTTTTACATATAATATGGAAGATAACTGATGCACCAAGGCTAAAAAATAATAATAATATTATTATTAATAATAATATTAATAATAATAATGATAATCACCACCACCACCACCATCATCATCATCATCTATTTAGTTGTTTTATTCAAAAGAACATTTCTATCTTGATGGGTCCCTCCCAATTCGGCATATTCTATATATGATAATATATATATATTCTATATATGATTATATATATTAATGAATATTTACTGCTTTGTTTATTTCTTTAAATTGGGAGGGACCAAAAGAACCAACTAGAATACAGCTGAAAATGACAAACCCAGCTGAAGACACAATTTTTAAATTTTTTTTTCCTCTGTAAAAAATCTTCCCAGTGTTTTCAGCACTGTCTGACTTCAGTCAGCTAACAAATTGTATTTCATGTCTCTCTTCCATGAAATTGCAATACATTTAGGGCCACAATTATGAAACCCTGTTGACAGACTATCAACACTGTAATTCTGCTTACAGATACAGCAGGAAACTGAAATTACTTTTCTGAAAAAGCAGAGGCTTGCAGTATCTCTGTGAGATGGAAGAAGTTGCAGGTCTCCCTTGTATTAGCATCACTTGGACCCATAGGTCTCAAATTATGATGAAGGAAATTATTTCAACACAGCATGAGGATGAGTTCAAGTTCTGAATAAATACAGGGTGGTTAATTTCGTGATCTAAAGAGAAGTTCTGTAATGGCAGAAGCATTCTCTTTTGATGATGCCAGCTTTATTTTAAACAGTGCTTTGTTGTTGCTGATTTCTCCTCTTCCTTCTTCCCCCTCACCTCCCCTTGAACTTCCCCTGCTGTTTTTTCACCCCTCTAATTCGAAGTTCTGCTGCCGCCTCCTTCCTCCTTATTCCCCATGCTCCAGTGTTGCTATTTTCCCAACCTCTCCCCTTCCTAGGCCACTGCTTCTCAGAGCACTACCACAGAGCGGTATTTTCTTTACAAGAAGTGTTATGTTACAGATGTGGTACCAGATTAAATCAGCATGTGTCAGGTTTGAAAGACACTAAAGCAGTACTTCTTCACATGGCACAACTCAGTGGCAGAATTTACTCCTAATGGAATTTATGGAGGCCAAAAATTTAGACAGGTCCAAAAACAGAGCAGATAGAAACAAAGAAGATTACACCCATTACAATTAAAAACAAAGACATCATCTTTGGCTCAAATCCCTACAGATCTACTTTGCTGGAAGCCTCTCTGAAGGAAGGAGAAGAACATACTATGCATGTCATTTTTGATGCTGTCTTTCCATTACAATCTGCCTAGTGGCAGATGGACTTTTGGTCCAACCCAGTACAGCTGTTCTCATGTACTAAATGTTTCATGCTTGGAAATATTTACAGCTTTTTTAATCAGCAAAATTTTAGTGGTTAGGTATCTGTTACCAATGTGCTCTCCAAAATTAACAAAGCAATAACCACACTTGTCTGTGGGAATTTTCTTAAATCCTTTTCTTGAAGTATGCTTTGGTAACTGTTCAATTTGTAAGAAAATCTGATTAATTTAATTTCAAGCTCTTTTTAAACTCAGTTTTTGTGGGACAGAAATAATTGAGTTAGCTAGGGTGACATAATCTGTATATAAGAAGCAAAAAATCATGCAGCAGCAACTGCAATAATAGGAAGCCAGTAAAATTTAACCACCAAAGCTGAAGGATTTAAACATTTAAATGCATTATCTATTGGTGAAGAAAAAAGCCAATAGCCAAGGCAAACAATAGTCAGAGCACTTCAGATTTTGATTCACAATTCTACCCACTTTAAAATTCTCTCCATTTTTTCTCTGAGGAAACAGGAAAGCAGGAATGATCTGTAGCCAGGGGTGCAATGCTGGAGAGGGGCTCTATGTGTGGGTTTTGCTCTATTAAACACATCTCACTTCAGATACCTCTGTGGGCCTCACACAGGCTGCTCTCTACCTATTTCCCAGAAGCCACAATCTCTCTTTTGGCAAATAGTGACTTCTGAAAACAGTTAACCCTAAAACTCTAAATAGTACTTGGCAACATTTAAAGTGCTGATCCTAATCCTCTGAGACACTCAAATAAACTGCTTCAATACTGATCCCAAGGGACTAGAAGTCAAACATACACACATTCTTCAAGTTACTACTCAACATTAATTTCTTTACATTTTGTTATATTCCACAGGCACCACCAGGGACAGAAGGAACACTTTCCAGTAGTAGGACAAAGGGCTGTCAAAGCCATCTAGAATGGCCAGAGACCTCCTCACTTCAAGAGCAAACTGTCAGTACAATTTGTCTTGTATAAGTGAGTTACTTACACCTTTCCACATGACACAAAAAACTTGTTCACGTCTTCCTGTGTATACAGGAAGATTCTCTATGGCTCTCTCAGGTTCTGATCTGCAACTTTTGTTACATGGGCCAGCAAACATTCCTCTCCTTGTTCCGTTACACTCACAACAAATGCAACATATACAGAAATCACCTGAATTATTTGTTCCTGAGGCTAACTTATCTCATTTGAACTAATGCACAACCAATGCTTAGTGTTAAATTAGCTTTTGCTGTGGTTAGGAATGGTGTTCCCCAATTTAGTGCTCCCACTGAAACAATTCCAAACCATGTCCTGCTCACTCATTCCCCTGTCCCCTGTGGAGGAATGGAAAAGGGAAATTAGAGGCACAAAAGGCAAAGATCAGGGGTTGAAATAAGAACAATTTGTTGGAAAAAGCAATGAGGTAAGAAAATGAACAATAACAGCAAAAACACTAATAAGGGAGTGCACAAGAAATGGGCAATTTGCACATGAGCTATCATCCCCAAGAATACATGCCCAGGAAGGGACCCCTTCCCTCCTTCCTGGAAAATGAAGGATACAGGATAACCTGGGAATGCCCCCTCCTGGCTACTGCAAAAATTAACCCAGTCCTGTCTGGAACCAGGATGGCTTTATATTTTAAGGCAGCCAATCACATTTAGCCAACCACAAACATACACAGTGAGTTTTCAGACACTGGTCAATGATTACCTGTAGGACCTTGGGCAGGTGACAGTGTGTTTGCTGGATAAGCAAAATTGCTTAAGAAAGTAAATTAACTGTTGAGTATGCCCATTTCTCTTATCTTTGTGATCTGAGGTGCAAAGTACCTCCTCCTGGACTTTGGGAGATGTAGAACAGGTGTGTTACTACTTAGCAAATACACACTGTGAACTCCCGTTGACCCCTGTGAAGCACTTTTAACACCTTTGGAAGCAAAGTGTGATTACTACAGAAGTGATCAGGTGTCTCAGGCAATGAAGACGCTACATTTTAGAGTCAAAGGTCACCATTACCTTAATGGCTAAATCACAATGTTCGCTGGCAGTAGTGAGTTGTTCAATGTGCCTGTCCACCTCTGCGATGGACAAACTGCAGCTGCTTTTCTTCCTCCCACAGACAACATTTTCCAGACCTGTCAGCACTCTCTGAAGTTCTGAATTCAAGTCACTACAGTTATCTAAAACAAAGCAAGACAAAACAAAACAAACATCACAACAATTAGTGGCTCAGAGAAAAAACAAACTCTTAACCAGGAAGCTCTGCTGCAGAACAGCCAGGACTGATAGTGTTCAAAGAATGTCCTTGCACTCTGCCACTTCTTCTTCAACAACTGATAGGCTTAAACACCATAACCACATCAACTGAAACCATGAGCTACCTCTCATCTGACAAATAACAGCCCCATAGCTTATCTGAAGTGTTCATTCTTTCTTCAAAATCCCCTCTATTCTGAATAACATTTTAAGACATTACTTGCTTACATTCAATGATATTTTTTTATGTTGTTCTTTTGGCCATTCAAGGCCTATTATCCCGATTTTATTAATGTATGTTTGTAAATACAGGATTCTTCTGTCTGGTACATTCAGGGATGTTATGACTTGATGTTTTTCAGAGAATTTTTGTGGTTATACTTAGATACTGCCTGATTTAAAAAAATTGTTTACAGAAACGATTCCTACCAACTACCTGTAGGTAGTTTTATGTTAATAGCTACTCCTTCAAATAAAACTGCAGAGTATTCAGGGATCATAACACCACAGCTTATGTTCCATACTACAACCATACTACCAATTTACACAGCAATTCTATTTTAATTATAAAATATCACACAGAATTACTTTCTTTCCTGTCTTTAGGCAAACCTCTTCTAGTGCTCACTGCCATAGCATCCTCCACTTAAGTGAAAACAAGGGGATTTCTGTACCTTGCTAGCTCACTCCATAAACTATTTTTGTTTCTCTTAGGTTCACCTCTGGTGACATACAGCAGCAGTTTCTAAGGCAGACCTGTGTCAGAATTCACCCTTGTGCTGTCTCCTGGATGTGCCAGTCAGTACTTCTGGCTTGCTAGGTATGAGTCTGTAGTAACTACCCACAGCAGAGCATACAAGGGGTGCACTATGAGGTGGCAGCACACCCACAGCTCCTCTATCCTACCAAAAACAGTGGCAGGCATTCATTGGCAGGTGGAGGGTGTGATTCCCTTGCTGCTGCAAGCGCTCCACCATGCTCAGAACTTCATGGTTGTCTCATAGCTGTGGTTCTTGCAGGGCACTACAGCTGTGTGGCACTGAACTGGGTCTAAATTTTAACAGACATGAGTCACCAGATTATTGCAGACTGCCTTGAAATCTCCCTGTGCAACGGAAGACTGAGAGCTGCTGGATGAAGGAATGAGAGGAACAGAAAGTAAAAAAACTGCAAACTCATTACCATTCATATAACTTCACAGCCTATTAGACACAAACACAAACGTACTGCTTGACCAAAAAGAATAGTTTAGAATGATGTTCAAGCATTGCATGAAAAATTTGAATGGGCAACATATAAAAGTTTTTTCTGGGAAGTAATTTCACTAATTCCTGATAAACTGCCACCCATGTGTTACAGTAATACCAAAGAAGCCCTCCATAATAATCACGTACAAGCACGCACCAGACACTTAGAAGCAGGATATAGCAAGCAGGATGCTTACTTGTAAAAACCTTGTGGTTTTTTTGCTTGAATTTGCCTTTTTTCCATAACGTCTTCTGTAATAACCATTTTGTATATTTAAACAACCTTCACAAGACCTTGTCTGCTGGGATTTGTTTGACAAATTTCCCCCATAAAATAAATAGTTTACAATGTGAGAAGTCCATTTCTGACAGAAAATGAGCACAGCCCAATCACAAGCTCTGCAAGATGGACTGGAGAACATTCACAGTTCTAGTTCTAGGTGCTTTATTGCCTGTCCCATCAGAGCAGCAGATCCACATGAATTAGTGAGTCATGAGGTATCACTGGTTTTACTAAGTGACAGATCGGAGGCAGTCACTACATCAGGGCAGTAAGCAAGTCATGCACATGAGTTATTACTGCAACATGATTTTTTATTCCTATATACCTATATCTAGAAGGATTTAAAATTATACATATTCCTTTATCTATATGCATATGTGTAATTTATTTTCACAGGACTATGGAAACAACATCCAAAAAGAACAGTCTATGGATAGAAGGAAAATATGGAAAAAAATATAGGAATCCCTAGAGATAACATTCTTATTTTCCTCCTTATTTTCTCCATTGTTATCTCTGAGCCCTACCCTTAAGGGAAAGGGAGCACCCAAGATTTGAAGAGGCTTGTGGTCAAAGGAATGACAAAAATCAGAGGGTCCACAAAAGCTCACAAATACACACTTGGCATGGAAACTGGGTCAGGTATGGCCCTGACCTACTATATAAACACATGGCAGTGGCTTTTTGGATTAAGTGGGAAAATGAATACAGAGAAAGAGGAGAGAGAGAGAAGAAGAGAGAAGATCACCAGTCCTTGCTCTGGAATGATTCAGCTGTTCAGGGTGCTGGGTTGCAGATGCAAAGCAAGCACCCTGGACTTTGTGGAGGTACCTGTTTATAGGCAAGCTTTCCCTGCTCTGGAGATAAGTTTCTGTCTATGCGAATTAGTTCTCATGTGCAGTCTGTTCTTTCAGACCTTTCTAGAAATGGCTGGGAGAACTTCTGGGATCTTAGGTGGTCTGGATTCCCCTCCACAGCACATGCTCCCTTCTCGGGCTTATCCCTGTGCTTGCTGTGTTGTGCTCATGTCCTGGAGCTAAACAAGGACACTTGCCTCTGAAGAGTTCTGACTGCACCTCCCACAGCTCCCTTCTCCAGCCACATTCTGTTCCTTCTCAGAGTGTGTTATTACCAACAATCCTTGGCTGGCTCCAGAGCTATCTTTCTGTTGGTTTTTGAGACAGACACATCATCCCCCCTAGTCGTCTAGGTCTCTATATTGTACACCATTCTACTGCTGTGCTTTTCATTGCTAGAACAAACTTAAACAGATAACTTGCTGTTTATGTCCACAAGCCCCGGATCAGCTCCACTTCATGAAGACAAAATAAATCCTGAAAAGCAAATGAATTTCTTTTTTTCTTGGTAAGAAGAAAATTAAGGAAGAAAAAAAATCCTTGTACTAGAATCTGTTCAAATAGGAATTTAAGAGTAAGCACTAGCTTTTGACAGTAAAACATTAGTTTTATCATAGCTTTAAAAATCTCTGTTAAGTATTTTGAATTCCGTAAGTCAGACACTTCACAGCCACATTATTATTAATACTATTGTATCAAAGTTTCTAGAAATCGTAGACACGGAAATACAAATGTGCTGTTGCAGGTCTTGCACTTATAAACAATATAGAAGTATAGTATAAGTATAGAAAACAGGAATCGACTCCTGAAGACAATTCTGGAAATCTGTCATAGAGAGGATTACACCAGAATTTTGCTAGAAGGTCAGGTAATAAGTGACTGAACAAGAGCAAACAGCCTCAAGCTGCACCAGGGGAGGCTGAGATTGGAAATAAGGAAAAACATATTCATGGACAGGGTTGTAAAATATTGGAACAGTCTGCCTAGGGGGTGTATGGAGCCACCAGTCCTGGAAGTGCTCAAAAACTGTGTGGATATGGCACTTGAGGACATGGTTTAATGGTGAACATGGTGGTGATGCTTGGATGCATGGAGACATTACTCCACATTTAAGTTAACAGTCACAGAAGCTCAGAATCAATTGTGATTAACACACCCTACATTAATTCATTTCCTCACCAAATGCTTGGATTTGCATTTCAAAAGCTATGATACCTTTCTGCTGTGGTAAGTCATCACTTCTGCTAAGCACACAACTCACCCACATCTGCAGTGACCATTGTGGACTGGTTCTCTGGCACGGAGACAGAGTTTCGGTCCATGCTGCGTGAGTCTTCATTAACCTCCTGCTGGCTTTGGCTCAGCTCCGACCTCAGTTCTGAGTACTCATCCTCCTCCCTGGCAGAGAGAGCAAAGGCAGAAATTAAATCCCCTGAGGAAATGTGCATCTTTGTGACACTCATTTTAGACCTGTAAGCTGAGCCACAGGATCCAATTCACACAAGTGTTTTGTCCAATCAGTAGGGATGCCTTTAAACCCTTCATTGCAAAACCGCTGTGCCATGCACATAACACCCACTTGCAGCAGTTGGTGCCTCGTTTCCATTTCTTAATTCCCAACTTCATTACTTCTCCTGGCCACTGGAAAAGGAAGAAATAGGTAAAACAGAGTGCTACCAAGAATGGGTAAGGACATAGACTGCTCTGCAGTGACTCCCCAGTTGGTAATTCACACAGATCAGCACAAGTGGCTTTGTTCCCAAAGTGGATTAGAAGTAAGTGGTTTTCATCTCTTTCTCAGTTCAAGGATGTCACCATCTTGTGTGCAAAGTAAGCATGCACATGCATGTACCCGCACATGTGAATCAAAATGCTCTTGGAGACAAGTTGGTTTTTCATTTTCTCTTCCCAAAAGAGAGAGGAACAGATAATAGAGCATTGCACTGAACTGCTGGAGTTAGTGGAAAAGGAAGTCTCAATTACCTAGGTTTCAACTGATTTGTCAAGCTGGTTCAACTAAAATAATTGAGGACACAGAATACCTTAGCTAAAACTCATGAGCTTAAAAAATTAGGGCTTTTCTCTCCTGTCTCCACACAAAGAGTTCAAAGCACTGGGAAAGAAGGTAAGTAAATGAATAATAGCTTTCCTGAAAACATTTGTAAACATTTTTTCTTTTCATCCATTTGCTGATTTGACTCAGATTTATTATTTTTTTTTACTCCCCTAGCAAGTGTTTTTACATTGAAGTATCTATTTTAAACATTGGAAAAACACCAGTTTATCCAGGTGCAGGGCTCCTCTTGATAGAAAACAAACAGCCATCATTTTGTTGCACACTAAATCACATGCAGAGATTAATTTTGCTGCACATTCAGCAGAAAAGTGTGAGAATGGAACTGTCTGGCTTTGGAAACAATGAGAAACAGCAAAGACCTATCTGGGGATCTGCATCTGGGAGGGGTATATGCAATGTTAGGTCTGGTGTGTGTGTGCTACATGGTGATGAGTGCTTCTTGAAGGATTCAGCCTGGAGGTGTGTCTCAATTTATCAGGCAAAACAGCAGACAAGATAGTCCATATGTACAGGCATCAATAACAAAATTAGTCTGCTGTCAGAGCTGCAGAGGTGACAATTTATGTACCTTAATAAAACTCAAAAAGGACTGCCAGCTTGCTTGCCAAGCAGGGTTTCCCAAGATACTGAGATGTAATCTCTATTATTTACAGATATTTCTATTATCTATTATGGTCTTCTAGCCTTTACATTTGCTTTAGTGCAAAGAAAGTGTGACTTTAGCAGAAGCACTTAGTGACTACTACTACTAAACAAAATGCAGGCCAGCTGGTTAACACTGAGCTTTACATCAGGAAAGGTCTTGGAAGTACCATGAAATACTTGTTTAAGACAGGGTTAGAACCTAATCATGAATAGCAGGAGTTAAAACTGTGTAATGAAGACACATAAGCATCGGTTAATGTTCCATGAATCAGTTTGTTATTAGCCACAAAAAAAGCCACTAGTAATTAGCTTTAGACAAAACAATTACCAAGCTCTCAAACAGTTGTAATTTTTCATCTGAAGGTAACTGATTTTTTTCATTTATGAAACAATTAGTCCTACATTTTTAAAACCTGAATTACCTCTACAAATGGATAAAAAGCTCTACTGGCATTAAAGCAACAGCACACATTATAATAATTTCTCATCACTCTTCTTTGGGATCCTCTTGTACAGATTTTTCTGTTTAAAATACAACACAGCCTCATCTAGCTAGTGCTAGTTATGGGTTTTTCTGTTTAAGTGCCCCTCTGTATCCTGGGACACTGAAAAATATGTCATGCAGTAGGACTCTTGCCCTTCTGGACTCAAGCCAGAAGTCAGTTTCTAAATTAACTAATGCTTTTAAAAGCTCACCAGAAAGATCAGAAATCCATTTCTGATAAAGTGGCAGCAAGGTCAATCAGCCCCTCCACCACCAAAGAACATACTGAAAACAGACTGAGGGCAAGATTAAAGGGAAATTTGAGGGCAGGGATACATCACAAATTTAAATTCTGCCTTTAAACCAGTGCTGGTAGTAACAGAAGATACTGTTTTAGACTTTCCTTGCCACAAAAGCAGAGTCCTCCAGTGGCACTGGAAATGGAAGGTGCTTTACAGCTGACAATGACCAGCCATTAGACTCCTGCCACACCACCCAGAAGGTGGAGGCATTACAACTTCCTTATTGCTGCAATCAGCAACAGCCTGGTTGTAAAAAGCAGGCGTTTGTTCTGTTAAGGGCCCTGATGGTCCCACTTCCTGGAATGGTCCAACTTCCTGTGAGTTGGGGGCAATTAAGACCAGATCAAGCCATTCTAAACACAGAGGATGGGAGGATTGGAGGAAAAAGCCAAAAATCTGTGGTTTTCAGTTACTTCTGCACCAATTGCTTTCTTTACTACCAGGTGCAACCAAGGACCAGAGTGCTGCACAGACACTCAGAAAACTTGTTCAGACAGTGAGAAAAACTGCACATTTTTCAGCATTCTTTCACACCACAGAACACTGGCAAAGGGCATGTTCTCTTCATGGCTTCAAAACAGCTTTGTACTACAGGTGCCAGCAGTTTTTCAACAATCATTTTACTTAAGTAACTATTTTCAAAACCCTGTAAGATCCTCAGATAGAGAACAGTACAGGTGTATGTGCACAAAGATTGACTGTGCTCTGTGTACAAACGCTTGAGGTCCCTCTGAACTAGTTCATTGTGAACAAATAGTGACACATTGGAGACAGCGCAAAAATAATCACACACAGAGGGCAAATGGAGCTGGGCACTGTGTGCTGAAGTCAAGTTTATCACACCCAAACTGCCCTTTGAATTGAATCCCGTATGTGCTAGCTTCCACCTAGCACACATTTAGAGGCTAGAATTAGATCTCCAGGTCACTGTGTAAATGTGACTGTAAGTGCTGTGTGCTGTTTCTTGTTATGCTGCAATCTCTTTGCTATCCCTCTTCTCCATTAACTTCCAGCCCTTTCTAAATGTATCTCAAATTAAAAGTTGTAAATCTGAACAAATTATTTTACAGTAATGGGTTATAAGCTTCTTGACAACTGTTTCAAGTAATTCTTAGCAGGCACCAACACTGAACAGAGTATAGCTCTGTCTGGTATTGTTACAGTTGCTCACTATTTTTAGAGTTGCAGAGATGTACCCAAACAGCCACTTTTAGATAGAATGAAATAGAACTAAATAGAACTAAAAGCAATTAGACATCTCTCTTTTCCTTTTCTTGAAACTCAGTGTGACATCTAAGAAAAACTGTCAGTCACACGCTGAAGTTACAGTTGATTTTGACAGCCAAAGAAATTATTAAGAAAAAAGGAGTCAAGTTTGAATGAATCTAAGGAAATACTAAAAACTTCTGAAGTCAGAAATTTTCACCTTAAATGTACACATTATTACATTTTAGTACTCTACTGCAAAATTTCTAAACCCTTTTTGTGCTTCAGAGTTACTGGGTGTGACCATTATGCCCAAGTATTTACAATATGACTCTAACTGGGATGATCCATTTGACTGGTTTTCCCATCTTTCTAGGCTGTACATTCTGCAAGAGAAAATTGCATGCACCTTGTCAAAGGACAGAGATCCTTGGAAACAGAGGTTCATCTACTTGCACATGAGTATTTGAGTATTGGAACTCACTTTCTTCACCTTAATATCTCTTTCTGGAGGGGGGATTCCAAACCAGCTGGGCTGTCCAGAGCACCAGCAGCAGGGAGATGAGAAAATTGCAGATGAACACTAGGTTGCTCCCCCAAGCATGGTGAAGTCATTTTCCTCAGGGAATGCTGGAAGAATGCAGAGCAAGAGCTGCAGCTAAATTGATGAGGCCACACACATGGACTCAAGAAATAGCTAGCAAACCTAGAAAAATCCTGTAAACTTCTGAAAATACTCTTGTAAGATTACTGCTACTGGGATCAGTATATCAGACACACCTGGGAAGAGACATGCATTGACATGTGACTTAAGCTCCCTCCTTGCCCAGAAAAAGCTGTGGTTGTCCCATTCCTGGAAGCATCCAAGGCAAAGCTGGATAGGGCCCTGAGCCACCTGGTCCTGTGGAAGATGTTCCTGCCCACGGCAGAGGGTTGGAACTGGAAGGTCCTTAAAGTCCCTTCCAACCTAAATCACTCCACAATTCCAGAGCTGGCATTACTAAACCACATGAGCAAACGCCATTACACTTCTAAACCCTGATGTTGCAAAGGCAAAAAAACCTCTACACACACCAAGAAACAACAGACAGAGAAAACAGAGAAAAGTTCTCAGAATGGAGAATATTAACCAGTTATATTAATACAGCCTGCCAACACTCCTCCTCACACTGTTGCAATAATTTGTTTGGATTTAAACATGGTGTCTCCTTCCTTTCTGTCCTATATTATGAGGGTCCTGCTGACATTCAAATAAACAGAATGCAAATTAAAGAGGATAGTCAAATACCCTCCATGAAGCACTTGTTTCTTCTAATTGTTTCCAAATATTTTTGGAAATTTATATTTAGAAAATATAAAGAATGTCATAGAGTAGAGGTACATGAAGCTACATGTTAGTTAATTTTCACAATCTAAAGTAGATATGCGAAAAACTCAAGAGTCACTGTGTCAGCACTGGGGAAATATTTATCTGTTATGCTATTAATGTAAACTCTGCTACCAGTATGACAGCCCAAATTTTGTGACAGCACAAGGAAAGCCTCTGCTCAATACTGCCTGCAGGTTCCAAAGAGACAAATCAAAACTAAAATCCTCTGTTCTAGAAGAAAATATAACTGCTGAGGCCCCAGCAGGGCTGTGCTCTCAAAACACTTTCTCCTCCCAGGACTGCTCTGTCCCAGCTCCTGGACTGAGCCAAGGGTGGAGCGCTGTGAGTCACACCTGATCCAGCAAGGACAGGAACTGCACCACCCTTGCTCTGTGGGATGCATGGACAGCTTCTCAAGAATGACACATGTGGATCTCAGAGTGGATTTACAGAAAGCCACAACAGGAGGTATCCGTTTTCCCTCTTTCAGTTGGCTTTACAAACCCTGTGGAATCCCTTCAGTTTCCATTTTCAGAAGGGATATTACTCCTCTGTTCCCCAGACACCAAATTATTGGCCTGCCAAAGAAAATAAGCTATTTCCATCATTAAAGGAAACAAAAAGAACCACTAACTTAACAGTTTTCATTCTTACTAATAAAACCAAAACAAATAAAACAGATGAGACATTCCAGCTGTCTGAGCAAAACAAGCTCTCATATGACTGAATTAAACTGGAGGAGCATGACAGTGATGTGTCTGGCACCTGCTGCAGCAGTATTGTTCTGATGCCTTTAATGGCCAGAACCTCCCAAAAGGGACAGAAAAACCCACATTTTTCATGAGAAGCAACATGTACATCCCATCAGGCTTGGTTCTTACACCTCACGTTACTGTGCTTGTCACAGCTGATTCATTTATAGACATGGTTTAATACTCAGTGTCCACCTGATTCCAGTAGTTCATAATTGAACACTACTTGGCATTTACTTTGCCACAAGGATTCCAAACACACCATTTTTATTAATTCTGTGTAATATTTTTCTTAAATGTCATAAGAGTTTTTCTGTCACTCAAGGAAAAAAAAATCAATGCAGTTCTCATGTTTTCTCAGATTTTGCTTTTCAGCTAGTCTTTCCAAAAGACAAATGGAAAGTTTGTCTGCAGAGGTATCAAGCATAAATGAAGAAGGGTATCATGGGGATTTTGTTCAGAGAACTATAAGCGTAGAAAATATGTGAAAAATCTCACCATGACCATTGCTAGTTATAATCAACTCACAGGCGACAGTATTTATGTTCTTAAAAAACATGAACATGTGATTCTAACACTGCTTTAGTAGTGGTAAATATGTATGTGATGACGTTCCCTCTTACTTATGCTACACCAAACATCCTTCTTTTTGCATATTAAGATCACCAGTAAAGATTGAGTAGTTGTAACAACATTGTCTCGTGCTAGCAGAGACAATGTTCCTTGCTATACAAGGAAGAAGAAATGAAGCAAGTACCAAAAAAAAGTGCAGCTAATAGGTAAAGGGAAATTGAAAACTGGCTACATGGCTAGAGCACCCACAAATTCAACATCACCCACAAATTCATCAAATCTAAGTTAATGTTCTCTAGAAAATCCAGATTCTGGCATAGTTGCATCCTCACTATATAAACTTTAAGAAGCTCCTTCTGCACTCCAGTCCAGTTTTTCAACATTGAAAATAATATGTGAAAACAAGTGAGGAAAAATGTTTCCGTGTAGTCACATGAAGAGTGTATTTTAACACAGTAACAAGATAGCATAATACCCCAAGCTTTGCTGCTGCAGAACTGGGCAACAACATAATTTGTACCATTTTTGTCAAAAACGCCAGCACAAGAAGAGGTAAAACCTATTGAAATCTATTTGAACCATACCTCTCCCACCAATAATTTAGCTTAGCTGATTTATAGGTGTGGGAACTGACAGTGGTCAAATAAGAGATTTTTAGGCTTCAGGCACGAGCTTGAGCCTGTAGGAAAGTAAAGTACACAACTTCCTCACTCTGGCCTGGGAAATCATAAGGAAGAATCCAGACAGTCCTTGGAGAAGGAAAACAACCTTTGCAGGTGTTGTTTGTCTCCTTGTTGTTTACTTGTAAGAAATGGTCAAGGGGTGGTGTTCCCAGCTGCCCAGTGATGGTGATGTGTTGGTTTAATGGCAAATGAAAGCTTTACCTTCTGGGACCTTCTCAGAAGTGTCTATAAAAGAAGATCTGGAAGAATAAAAAGGGCTCTCTTTTGCAACTAAGCTAGAGAGTCTGTGTCGTCACTATTCCTAATAAAGTGCAACAAACAGGAGGCTAAATTAAAAAATAAAATTCAAAGCAGAGGTTCAAGTCAGGTGCCCTCACTTTCCTTCACACACCATTGTATCACCCTGGCACATTACAAAAAGGAATATTTAGATGTCATGGTACATGTTTTGCAGTGCTTGTCAAATTTTGCAAAGTGTGGCATTGCCAGAGAGAAGGTAGCATTTCTTGTGTGCTTGGGATGATATCCTGCAGAACACCTTAATTATGGGCAGCTATTCAGTACCTGTCATGACAAGCCTGAAAGTCATCATCATATTAGAGTATAACTCACAGCATGTCCTGCACCTGGCCCAGAATTCCCAGGAATCTGCTGTACCTTATGGTTGCTCCCTGCAGCCGATCGATTTTCTTGTTGAGCTCGGCAATAATGCTGTGCAGCTCTGTGATCCGCTCCTCGTAGCGCAGCGTTGTTCGCTCCTGCACATCCTCGTGCTCTCTCATCAAGTGGGACTGCTCACACTGCAGCACAGAAGCAAGGAAACAGAAAGGCTCTTATGGACACCTGCAGGGAGATCGGGCACAAGGCAGAAGTGCACAGCACTACGGTTTTTCTACACATCAAACCAACAGTGCCTTTGCACTTTGAGAAAAGGACAGACACACAGCACTAACAGGTACATGCATGTTGGTAGTTTACAATATTTGATGAACTGACAGACTATGCAGTGTACTTTTATTATTTTTTTCCTAAAGAGAAGTTGCCATTTCTGCTTGAAAAAAACCCCACTAATTGAAACTCCAAGAGCTTTTGGAGTATCACCTTTATATCACCTTTGAATCCTAGGATCTTCCCAATGTGGTCTGAATTAGAACAAATTCTATTGCAGAAACCACATTATTATAAAGGAATCACAGTTTGAAGTTATAACTTCTTCTCTAGGGTAAGTACTTGTTTTTACTAATGTTTATAGATAATACAGCATATTTTTATTATGTTGGTACTCTCCAATAAAATGCTTATGATTTGAACAATTAAAGAGCTACATAACTGCTTGTTTTTTACATATATCACAAAATCCTTCTTTTCCCTTCCCACAGTATTTTAAATACAGCCTCTCTGGCTTACTCTTCACGCCAGCACACACTCTATTTCAATTACAGCAAACCATTACAAACCACTGCAATTACATGTCAGCACTGCATGCTGATTGAAATTTTGCTTGGTAGTGGCTGGCAAGAGTTTGTTTTTTAATATTTTGCTTCTGACCCCCTCCAGTCAAGCCTCCTTGCAATCACACAATGCCAAGTACTACACTGTCAAAAAAAGAAAACTCACAAGCCACTTAACAGTATAAAACCCACGCTCCTTAATTGAAGAGCTGCAATGTAAAAATCCTGTATAAGGGCCAAAGTTGATAGTAATATCGGAGGTCCTCCAAAATGGCTGAATCAAACTGGTTTTTTTTTCAAATCAAGTAAATACTCTATACAAGCTAACTCCCTAAATCCTTTCTACTACAAATAATAATAACATACCCAAAGTAGTAGATGTGCCAGAATTTTCATAATTTGCTCTCTTATTTTTTGGCCACTTACATTCACAGCTTGAGAACATCATCTACATAAAAGATTGCTTGAAAATTAAAATTTACAATAAGCTTCAATAACATTTTTATTTTGAACTTTAAATAAATTTATTCCACAATTTTTAACTTCCATGAATATGTACACTTAAGAGTAGCCCAGACATCAGAGTACCCTTCCATAACTTACAACAGAAGAATTTCTACCTTCAGCTGTAGTAAAAGAAATCACTTTCACCTACACTAAGAGAAACAGATCAGATCATCACACTGCAAAGTAAAGGAAAGGAACACTGGTAATGTTCACCTGGCTTATTACCTGCCAACAACTTCATGTTGGCAACTGGTAGCTGTACATGTACATTATGATGACTCTTTATTGTACCATCATTCTACAGCTTATTTCTCACATTTCCACATCTTAACATTGTATCCTTCTGAAGAACTACCATGGCTTTCAAAGTGCAGAAAAATAACCAGAGAAAATGTTTCACAAAAGCTTTAGAGCAGATTTAGGGGCAATAAAGACTCGCTTCTTCAGCCTTTCTAAATCTGAATTTCCTCTGACACACATATATGCCCACAAATGCTACCTCAGCATTATCCAGATCAATCTATTATGGGCACTGGTGATCTCTGTAGCTTTTAAACCAAAGGGATGTTTCATATTGAGTGTATAATGATTGTTTCCAGGCAATAAATAAAACCCCATCACAACAATTTTTGTCTTTCTATGCTATACACTGAAAAGATATATGGACATTTACTAATGGGTCTCAGCCACATTACAACCTGACTTCTGTTTTCTCCAGCCATTTCTCAGTCACCATTTTTCAGATAACATCACTGGACAAATGTACTTTGTGAATAACCAGCAGTCTGGCTAATATATGACAATAGCTTCACATTAGATTTTTTTTAAAAGAGCTCTCGAATCATCTTAGGTAAAAGCAATTGGAAAAGCCCAAAAGGAAGCCTCTGTAAATGACAGACCATGATGCGAAGGACGGCTCTGTCTTGGAGGTGGGGATCAGAATTACATCTCTGAAGTTCTGGTCAGCCAAGACAAGACTCAAGTGAAAATGGCAAAAGCATCCAAGCAATGGAAACCTGGTTCAGCATGCATCCCAACATGCAGCAGTGGGAAATTCTTCTGGTTATTCAGGACTGCTCTTTATTATGGAATATTCATCTGAAAACTTGAAAAGGGAAAGAAACAAATGCATGTTTTTCTACCTACTGCTGAATTTTTTTCTCTGGGATACTGTGGTTGTTCACCATCCTCCTTAGTTTCATTATGTTTTGAGTCTCAGAACAGCAATCTGATACCAGTTTCTACTTCTTTCCAAGGTGTACACGTCAGCTCTTTAAATTTATTTGCCTGTCAGTTACACAATAAGTACCTTATACCCTTTCCCTCATCTCTCTTCCTGCCTCATATTTAAGAGCTCCAGCTCTCAACGTAAGTTGAAAACTCTTGGTTGTTTTTTGGTACAGATTAAAAAGGTTATTTCATTTACAATAAGAACTAACAATGGTTAGAAACACCATTATCTGATCTCTTGATGCTGGGAAATAGCAACAACAGCAAGAAGTATATGAGGGAGAAGGATGATAAGGAAAAACATTTTAATTCAAACCTATTGTCTGAACAAGTGATTCTATTGCCTATTAATGTACACAAATTCCTAGTGAAAGAAACACTAACAAATGTGCTAAATTATGTTAATCTTTATATTAAATTTGCAGTGTTCAATCAGAGGACAAAAAAAGCAGAACTGCTAGCAGCAATGCTCATTAAGAGATGCACCAGTGCCCCAGGCCCTACAGAGACAAACACTGGTTGTGGTGTTGTTCACCAAGAATACAAGTCATCACCTGAACAAGCCACAGTCATAAACCTGTCTAACAGGATTACAGAAGCTAAAAATCTTTGCTCAACTAATGCAGTGTTTTAATTTGAGAGGAGTGGCAGATTTAACAGTGGCAATCCATTAATCTAAATTTAAGTATGAAAACAAGTCTATAGTGCTAAGTCCTCAATCATAAAAGCATGCATGGTCAGAATTAATTATTCTGTGGTATGTTCTGTGTGTACTTAATGTGGAAGATGAATACCAGCATACAGAATTAATCCATGTCAGATAAGGACATCACACAACAGAACAAGTAATTTCAATGTTCTTCTGAACACCATGCATTCCTATTTCAAGTTTCTCTATTAAATGAGAACCTGAACCTTCCTGTGAAGTTCACATGTTCTTACATGTCTACAGAGAATGTTGTTTCTGTTCTTATATATCTACAGTGTTGATTTTATTCTTGTATGAAATTCTGCTGTTCCTCCCTATATTCTGAATAATCAAGAGGATGGTAAAGAATTATTACTGCAGTAGTGAGACTTACTGCTGTGACACAGGATCCAGAACAATGCAGCACATTCTTTGTCTAGAGCTGTTATAAAAATCCAAAATAACAATGACTAAGCACAAAGAATGAGAAAGCAGGACAAGATTGTGAAAGGAGATGAAATTATAAGAAAAATATAGCAAGTGAATTATCTGTTCTTGTTGTACTTGCTGAAACATTCAGCATGTTATTAAATCCCATGCTCAATCACAGAACTGCAGAACTCTATGTCACAGGATGTTGGAAATGCCAAGAATGTAGATGAATTAGAAAGAAGATTATATAAATCCATGGAGGATAGGACTATAGAGGACTATAAAATGTGATGTGGCCCCCTGCTCACAGATGCTGGCAGAAAGGTGGGGGATATGAAGGAGAACAATTCTCTGTGCGCATTTCTTATGCTCTCCCTTCAGACTCACACTGTTTATCACTTACCAAAGCCAAGATACTGTGTCACACAGAGCCAGTTGAAAACACTACAATTCTTATAATCACAGAAGGATTTTTGGAAGAAGACGGTTGTGGCTGACCAGTGTTTTACAACAAATTTCATTCAAGAGATCACTTTATTGCCAAATTGTACGCTGATAAAAACACAGAGACAAAGAGATCTGCTGTGTTACTGAAATAATAGAAGCATGCAGAGAAATGCTATATCTGGTCTCCACCAGCTGCAGATTTGGAAGTGAGTATGCTACAACAACCACTAATCAATTACATCACTTCACAAAATCTTAAGCCCAGGCTGTCCAACTAGCTTTCTTCACCGTTTGTCATCTATTACTTGAATTGTGGTTCACCAAATCAACTCCACTCTGCAAATCATTAATCCTTTCTTCCAAATGCCTCATGAAATGATGGGAAAGGTATTACCAAAAATGCATTTTAACAGCTATTTGTTCCAGAGAACATTTACCACACCAGCTAAAATGAAACATGTGCTTTGTAACTACAGTCCAGATGCAGAATAGAGATTTAACACTGACCCACTAGCATCTGAGTATGGTTATGCAGAACCTCAAACACCTCCTATCTAATTTGTGCCTTCTGAACCTCTGATTCACATTAGACAGAGACCGTAGAGGAAAGAATAATGAACAAATCTGTGTGGAGTGGGAAGCAAAGTTAAAAAAAATTATGTAAGTGGCACATGTAATTGGAAAAGACAAAGTGCAGTGGTTTCACCAGTCTATGTCTCCGTACTTAAACACTGCCAACACGCTGAATATATGACTTGTGTTGGTTTAATGATTTAAATTCCCTAAGAAAGATTTGTATTTTATTTAATGTATACTTAATTTTATCCTCTTGAAGACTTTAGAAAAAAAATAAAGTGCAAAGAGATAAATCATTTAACTTTTATATAAAACTGTTCATTAAAAATACTCTTTTTTTTACCTGAAATATAGCTATCAGCCTGCCTTTCAGACACTCCAGTTGTGTGCTCTTCACAGGTCAGGAGGCAGTGATCTCTGTGTTCACATGGCTCAATATCAAGTAAAAACCCCCAGCATTACAAACCGAGCACAATGTACGCACGCGTAATTGGTAACCAATTACCAATCAAAGAAAACACCAAACAATCTTGTGCTAACAGAGTACATGTTAATTGGTATTAAGGACTGATCCTTAATCCTAGGTGTCATCAGTGTGTATTCCGTATTATATGGGAGCACCTACAAAGCACTCTTCACTGGCTGAGAGATAATATATGTATTTTTAAATAAAGACATAGAAATAAAAATAAAACCTGATTAGCACTAACAAAAACCTGATTAGCATCAGACCCTCCGGAGTAATAAATAACAACAATAAAGTCAGTGCAATCATGCAGAATGATCATTTGGATACAGTGAATCTGTCTGAGAGTTTAATGACTGACAAATGCAGCCTCATATCAAACTGTAAGCCAGAAGAGGACTCTATCCCAAGAATGCCACAGAAATTAGAAAAGGCTCTCCGGATTATAGCTGATAGACCATGTTACTTCCCAGAGTGGCTCTGGCTCACATATCGAGGGGAATAAAGACATGAAAGTGATTTCATTTCTGAATGTTACATTGATGGTCTGCAATAACAGTATCACTTACAAGCCCATAAATCTTAAAGGCAGCTGAAAAAAACATTAGGGAATGCAGGCAAAGGCCAAAATAAGGGAGGACTGAAGCAAGAGCCTGAAAATCAAGACTGCTTAAGCACTTCTATATTTGGCTTGAATTTAAGTCACAAAGATGAAATCAAAATGTACTAAATACTGAAATACTGAAAACTTTAAATCTGCAAAATCACAGAATGGCAATGGATGACAGGGACCACTGGAACTTACTCAGCTAGTCCCTTACCCAACCTAAGACCAGGTCCAGATGTCTTGAGTATTTAGAACATTGGAGATTCTGCAACATCTCTGAGCAACAAATAAGGTGCCATACTTTATAAGAAAAAGGCTTTGATTGTCTCTCTCCAAGTATTTTGAATTAGTTTTTGAAATGTTAACTTATAAAAGCTATTTGATATAATGGCCGTATCTGAAAACAAATATATTTTTGCGGAAGTGAGAAATATTAAAATCAGTAGTTTGTTGTTCCTTGCTTGCATTTGCCTCTATCTAAGAGCTATGAAAGCATCAGAGTTCCAACCTTATTCTTATTTAACCCCTTGACGTTGCAGTGGCTGTGTTTTCCACAATTCCACAATTCCAACTGGCCTACTGGAAGCTAGACTGAAATCACAAGTAATTTCTCAAGTAACATCAAAGCATGAAAACTGGCAATAACGTTTGCTCAGTGTTAATTTGTGCTACGTTTAAATGTGACCCAGGAATGCAAGGCTCTGCAACCAGTGCAATCCACTGAGAGCAACCTGTAATTCTTATATTCTACAATAATTCAAAGCACTAGTTGCTTATATGGACTTCAGAACAAAATTTATCTAATTGATTTTTAGGGTTTTTTTAGAAGAATGTCTTCAACACATAAAAGGTATAACAAGTGGCAACTATGCATCTTGCAGTCTTAAAATTCTTTTGACTTGTGACATTGTTGGTATTTTATCCTCTCTCTGAGGAACAAGGACTGCACAAAACCAAGGACCATCTTCTGAATTTTGAAATACTATTGCTCACCTGTGCTTTTGCCAATTTCTTTTCCAACAGGTCACGCTCCTTTTCTGTTTGTTGTAGACGCTTATTAAGCTCCACGATGTCTCCCTTTAATGAAGCCAGGGCTGCTAAATGAAGCTGGAAGGCAAAAAGGAAAGAAACAAATTAACCAATTCACAAGCCATTTATCACTGGAGAAGAGATAGTATAATTTAGCAGCTGGGTTTCTGTAGTAGTTAATAGGAACTTCAGTCGAACAAAGTCTAAAAGAAATCCACATACAACTAACAATTTAACTAATAATTTTAACACAGTATTTTTCTTTCCAGGCAGCGCACACATTCCTTCACCATGTCCTTTATATGGAAAAATGCAATGAGGAATAACTCAGCTAAAAATGCACAGATTAGTTCTAACTCTAGTTCATTAAGACATACCCTGAGTCTTGCACTATAAAACCTTACATTATATGTTGACTAATATTTACATTATAGAATGAGGTGTACTACGTTGTGATGCCTTTAGACACATACAGGTTATCAGTTTGGTGAAAGTGGATAGCTCCACGCAAAGGATTTGGTTTTATTTTGCAACTAGCACTTAATCCACTGTGAGTTACTTTTCTGCAGTTGTTCTCCCATGCCAGTGAGTTTCAGTGATTCTTATCTACTAACCCACACATCAAGAACTGTTTTCCTTTCTGCAGCAGATCCTTTTGATGAAAGATATTTTCTACACTTAGCTAGCATGATAGCATGTGGAAATATATATCAGGCTAGGATAACTCACAACATTGAAATTAGGTTAGCTACACAACTTAGAAACCACAAACAGTTTTAAAAAGAATTTTAGTTCTTACCACTCTCTACTTCCCCTTAAATATCCCATTCATCGTTTCACTAAAGGCGTCTGCCACAATTCAACACTAAGTATTGACAACTGCAACTGGGAAGTCCAGGAGGAGAACTAGCCTCTAGCCCTGAAGTCTTTCTTTGTAGTAGTAAAGAAACAGCTTCAAGTTATACTGGGTATGAAAACAGAAGTGACCTTTCACACCAGACCAAGCAATAGAGTAAACACTGCTCTGCTGCCAAGATTCAGGCTGAAATACAAACTCCTCTTCTAATCCTCCACCCACTTTCAATCCCTCAATCTGATATTCTATTGGGTGCATCACCTAAAAGTAATTTTTTGTGTTTCATTTACAGTGAATCAGCTAGTGAGTCCTATTTTGCTATAAATTCTACCTTTGTAATACTGGAAGACAGCAAAACCATAGCTCTTTTCCCATACTGATGTGTGAAAGCAGCTGCCTGACAGCAGAGGGACGAGATCATTTGGAAACCGCTCCTTCACATACGGTATTCCTATTGTTAATGAAAAAAATCCTGCCTTCAAGACACAGAAGATAATTTTAAAAAGGTATTTGGATGTGAATTCTGCCTTTTTAAATGCTGTTTAACTAGTTATTAAACATCCTAACTTGTGAATTCAGTCGGCAGGATTTTTATTACATCAACTACAAAAATACCTTACACACATGCAGTTATTTTTTCAGTACAAATATACACATGCACTATTATATGCTGCAGAACATTTAAGATTCTCAGGCACCCTCATTTTTCATGTAAAAATCCAGTAACTCAGGCTTGCTATGGGCATATCCTACACAGCTTCTATAAAGTATGTACACTGAAACCTCTTAATAAACCCAGAAACATCCTGAATACCTTTAAGCATTTTTGGCCTTCAGCAGAAGGCCTTCCTTCCTACCACAGGAAACTATGCACTGATTTTACAATGTGGAGAAGAAAGAACCAGACCGATTGTAGCAATCTGTTCATAACCTGCTTCCTATTTTCAGGAAAGCTGGTGAATTTTTAAGCCACTGTTTCATCTTATTCCCGTAACAGTGTGGAATCGTTGCAATGAAGCTCACAAGTTTGTTCATCAGAATGTACATCCTTCACCACAGCTTTCAAATAGTACGTGAAAAATGGCTACAATTCTTCAAACTGAATAAAACAATGATACATAGTCAAGCATTGTTCCCTTTCATACACTGTAATTAAATGATCACTAGCTGTGTTTTAAATTAAGTACAAGTCTAATAATGCCCATACACATGGCCTTGTAATATAAAAGGACACCATTAATTTGAAAATCTCAATGAAAAGCAACTTGTTCTCTGAACAGTGAAACCAGCGAGGCAGACTTCCAATGGATTTGTCTTTGTCCTCTTCACCCTCTGCAATCAGCTCAGCCGTTCTTCACATCCTCTAGCACACTGCAAGCTGGGTAATAAACAACATCAATTGTGCCTGGTTTTACTGCAACACTGCATGGCCTGGCAGCCCCTGCCAAAAATGGGTACCCAATATGTGAGTTACATCCACCTCTGTTCAATACAGTCTCTCTTCTTCAAGTAACCAAAGGATGGCTTTATTAACAAGGTAAGCTTGTTGCATCTTTTACCATCCAAAATTACCCTTCCATTAATTGTTTCAGTTTCCAAGTGCTAACAAAAGAATAAATTTACGAAAAAAAAGGAAATTTACTGTAAGGGCAGCCTAGACACAAAGAAGTTATCATAACAGAAGAGGGCTGCTTGTGATACTCTAGTTTGATGTGCAAGTGATGCCTCCAGCTACTACTGCAATACATAAGGTTAACACAGCCAGTATAACTGTGTATTCATGGCAGTCAAGTTCTCATTTCTAATTAATTAAAAAAGTGTTTCAAGCTATTGCTGCACTTTCCCTTAAGGTGTCAATGTTCCCACAGACCATGCTTCCCAGCGTGCTTGTTTATCACAAGGCAGCAAGTGGGAACTGGAATATGATCTTTGGATGTTGCTGTAACTCAAAAAAGGAAATATCTGAGCAAAGAGCTACAGTCTATGCAGAATTATTCTGTGTGGGTGAAAAATAAAGTTCATGTTCAGAAGTCAAGTTTAATAACCCAAACTACTGAAGTGGGAAAGACTCCATTTACAAATCTCAATCAGTAAGTCAAACTACAATTTTAACTCTGCAGCACTGAACCACTATAGGATTGAGACAAGTGAGAGAACAGGGGTAGCCACACAGCATAGCGGTTTTTTTCTCTCCTCAGCAAACAATGACAGATAAGGCAGATATGAAAAACATTCATGCCATACATTTATAGTTAAAGGCAAGCTGCCTCTTAATGATGCAAGATTATCAAACAGACCAAAAACTCATCAGTGTGCAAAATTAATACAGACAGCACAAAGATTTCTGCTTGTAGAAGACATTGGACAAAACCTTTAAGCAACAGACTGCACACAGATCTACTTCATACAGAGAAAACAGTCAATTGACAAAGTCTGTCTTGTTCATAAACTTTATATTGATCCAATACATCTACTCAAATTCCATCAAGAAAGATGCCATTGTTGTGATGCTGAGGCATCCGAACTGTCCAACAGGACACGCAGGGTCAACATGCGAGAACAAAGATATAAAGGATCAGACCAGCTAATCAATTTGCATCTCTAGCATCATCCAAGAAAGTAAGAAAATACATTAAATGCATAGTATAAATAAAAAAATAATTACCTATCTTAACTTAGAAGCTACAATTCCTTGAGCTTTTACTGCAGCAACAACTGCGGGTTGCTTAATGAAACATATACACACTACATGCTATACCCAATACTATCCTGTCAGGTTTTACTAAATTAAATATACAATAACAATTATTTATTATTATTATTATAATGTATTATTATTATAAAATAACAAACTGCATAGTATGCATTTGCTAAAATGCAAACCAATATACACTTAAGTTTTGAAAGGTACTATAATTATAAGAACAAGTTTAGGAAAAGCAACTTCCTGACCTCTGATCAAGCCTCCTTTATGAATGCAGTTTCTTCCTCATTATCCATCTGCTTCTACAAGCATTTCATACAATACTGCAGACATGACATGTGACGCCTGTTTTGCACTATGCTTTGAAGACTGCTTTTGGTGCTGTGGAATATTTTATGCAGGAATTAGGAACAACATTTTTGGGCACTTGGGCTTCTGAAGAGTTTTGTGGGAAACAAACACAGAAGTGGATGGGATAGTAAGGTGAACTGAATGCCAAGGAAGCAGGTGACTGCTGTACTGCTGTACACACTGCTAGAAGCGTTCTGAGGCCAAGAACAAAACAAGAGAGACACAAAGGAAGTGAAGGATGGCAGTGGAAAAATGATAAGGCTAAAGCCCTGAAAAGCACTAAAATTACTATTACACTCAGCATTTTTCCCAGCCGTTGTGAAATGTGATCCTCACCACTAAATCTGATCCACATTTTTCATTCCCTTAGCCTGGAACCAGACTAATTAAACCATATTGCTAAAGCCAGCTGTACTCACCACACATGTCTGCTATTTTCAACAGAGAAATTACCAAAAGGACATATACATGTAATTCTCTGTGAAATTAAAATGCTAATATTATCTTTTTCCTCTTGTTTTCTGTATTCCTCAGCTACAGTACTGCTGCACACCAGTTTGGGAACTGATGTTCAGAAAGGTAACCTCTGACATAGCCAGGGAGACATAAAATCATACTAAACTATATACCAATACAAAGCAGCCAAACACCAAAAGATCAGTTTATTTGTTCTGTGTGTGTCCTCTGTGGCTCATCTGTTAAGCCCTGCCATGGGAGAAGGATCAAAGATGGGCCAGGGTGATGTGTCCATGAAGCTCAGGAAGAATGTGGCTGGCTGGGACTAAGCACAGCTGTTGCAAAAAAAGCTGACTTCATCTCAACACCAAGAGGACCTGAGGGTCAGTTTTGATTTAGATAAACAACTACCAACAGCTGAAAAAATCAGCTGGAGTGTATTTCTCCCCAAGCTCATTAACAGTGTGAATGTCTCCCTGCATTAGCCAGGCCAGCGTGGGGTGTTACACATCGCTCAGCCCAAAATAAAAACTACAAAAACATAATCAACTGACAGAATTTCAAAGCCAGCGATGAGCTTGAGCCAGTTTCAATTCACCCATTTACTCCTGGCAAGGGCAGAGATGCCCAGGCTGGTGGTGGTGATTACATCAGAGAGAGGCTGGAAACCACACTGGTGCTGTGTTATTGAGCTGTGCACTGCAATTGATC